CAAGTGAAGCATCGCTTTGTCCTGCCTAAAGGCAATTTTAACTGGCTCTTGTCACCGCCAGATAGAGTGCAGTTTCTCGCTCCAAGTTCACTGCCTTCAACAAGGAGGCTTTTCTAATCCCTAGCTAACTTCCATTGCCGAGACTTTCCTAATGTCACTAAGAGTACCTGATAAGAGATAAAGCAGCAGCTAACTCAACAAGCCTCATTCTAGCAAGGCTGTTATTCCCTACATACACGAAGTTTCCCAAAGGCTTAAGAAGGTCGCTGGCGAAATAGGTGTAAGAGTTGTGTTCTGCGCACACGATAAACTCGCTGGGCTATGTCACAGGGTCAACAGCGAAGAACCTAAGAAAGAAGAATGCACTAAGAAACACGCTACGTGCCATCTTGAATGTGTTTTAGCGATTCTCTACAAGATATTTTTTTACTTTTGTGCATGGTTACATTGGCCAAACAGGGCGATGCATGAATGATCGGTTGAGGGAGTACGCTAACTCTCTAAAAAGTTTCCTTCCCAGCCACTTGGCAGACCATTGTAATAAGTCTTGTCAGCCAAATATTGACAAGTGTTTGATCACGGGGGATATAAAAATCGGCGCGAGCACGAGATTAGTGAAGCTTTTTATATTCAACAACTTGGTGCTTCCTGTGTTAGCGTACCCTCAATTTTTCTTAACTGCTGTGAAGTTAGTTATCTTGGGTCCATTTACATGATCGGTTGTGGATAAGGTAGGCCGTATGGTGCATATATGTGCGATTCTTCTTATGGTGCATGGTTATGCGCAGATTCTGTTTTCTATATATTGCAGTTGGTTTGCAGTAAACTTTGATTGTTTGTTCAGGGTTCTGTTCTCGTTTCTTCTTTCCCTTCTTGTTCCTTGCGCTGTTAAGCACTTTCTTTGTCTACCATACAGCACCAACCAGTCGTATCAAGCACATTGTTAGTCTTGGAGGCGTATGTGCCAGTGAAATTGCACTAATATTTATGCGCTTCGAACACTTTACATATGAACTTGTACTTAACATGTAGACAAATTTTGGTATCGAAGAAAGGAGCAGTACTTTTAAACTACCTTCCCGCAAACCACACTGAAACGACATTCCAGTAAGTTCAGAAGGCAACTACGTGACCGAAAGTTTTTTTCTTTCGAAAGTATTTTACTGTTTCACTGTTTTCAATGCAGTAAATCATCACAATTTTTTTAATACATTTGAGATGGTCGCTAAAATAGCTGGGATGTTTGGCGTGGATTGACCCATTAATGGATCAACCTTTTAAGTTGGAGACATCTAGGCCATCTCCAGTTTATCACACAACTCTAACATTATGCATTGTACACAGTTTTCTACACGCACTGCTGTTAATCTGATGGCAAACTGATACTTATATTGGAAATATGAATAGGTATATAGGACACATAGCTTGAGATGAAACCTTTCCCTCATAGGAATGTTCCTAAAATGTACAAGATATTTGGTGCACCCTATGAGTAGCGTCCGCCACTGCTGCGACCCTTTGAGTGAGGTCGTGAGCCCGGAACAGCTGCTTTCAGGCTGTGATGAAGAGTGCACTGCATTGTCAGCACCCAGTCCATCGTAGAAGACGTAGTGTGCTTTCCTTTCAACATTCTGCATGTAAGAGATGCACAACATTCAACTAAGCATTTAAAAACACTGGGAACAATCAGAACCTCATTATGATGTGTCATATAATAAAAACCTCCAGCTTCCCCACTTTCAGCTTTACCACTATTCACTTTTACGTTTACAAGCATCTGTGCATACTAGTGTACGAATGCTAGTGCCATGTTTGAGTATAGACCATGGTGGTGGTGAAAAAGTGCTTATCTCTTGAATCATGCACCTACCAAGAAGCTTGAAATATACTGGGAAGCTCAAGTTTCAGCGTTTAAACCAAGTTTTCTTGCTAAGCTAGAATACCCTACCAATAGGCCCACTACAATGGGTGATACAAAAAATTATAGAAACCCATTCAGACAGAAACGTAGCAATATTTATCATTTACTTTGAAGGATCGTTGTGTAGACATGTACACATCACAGATGTACAATCTACTGTGTGAAAATAGTGTAAAAACATCGAGCAAGCCCAATATGGAAGGATCAACAGCACTTACAATATGACAACTGCTGCTGGAAAACCAGCACTGTGTATTTGTGAAAGCTCACCTCTAAATTTCTTCTCCAGTTACATAAATTTGGTGTACTCGATAATTTTATGTCTTCACAGGTTGCTTATTGGTCAACAAAATGATTACTTTAGGGCACGAGTAAAACTGACTACTCTCAAAAAGAAATAAGACTAGCTAATGCTATTCTTCGAGTGCATGCATAAGCAGCTCATTCGCAGTTAAATTTTTAATTCATAAAAACAGCCATGCAACAGATAATGTATCACAAGTAAGTTAAATATATGCTCAATGAGCTCTGAACGGTTGGACCATAAATATGTGTAAATAAAAAAAATGCACGACATATTGGAGAAGTAGCTAAACAGGAATATATGCATGGAGGGCTTATTAGTTGGATCAGTGTCTTTATATTCGTAAGAATGAAAGCTGCACAGACAAAATGCATGAAACAGACAAGAGCTGTTAGGTCTGTCTGCTTTCAGTTACAGCCACCTGTGTCGCCATTCTCATTTTGTTTTTCGCGAGGCGTGTCTTTAGGGCTAACTATGCCTACACCATTACCATCTGTGCTGGTATCAGTCTAACTGAAAGATTTGTGTGCGTGGTTGTTGGCACACTTTGGCTAAGCTTTCATATGTAATCGCAGCGCAAAACCCTACACCAAAATATACAGAAATATTCTATTCTACAATATTCTATGTGCCGCAGTACAATGGTGCAAAAAATGCAAAAATATGTGTGCAATATAGTTGGCTGTTCAATCCCCAATAAAGCAGATCAATATTTCTATATCCTGATTATTAACGATATACTAGTATAAATATAAACAAACCTAGCAAGGCACAAAAAGCGCGAATCACTGATAAAGCAAGGTACAGATAAATTCTTGGTTAGCTGCACGATGTTTTAATGAAACACTTCACGCCGCTGCAAAGCGCAGGCATCAAAGGGTACGATACAAAGTTTAAGTATTTTCAATTGTTGCGTTAAATAGCGTATTTACTCGCATTAAAAACGCACCCCTATCTTCAGTCATTGAAATCTGATTTTTTTCTCCCGCGTAATAAACGCGCCCCATTTGTCCACTGCAGTCCCGCTAACAGACAACTGGCGCCTCTTTTACCGTTGATCTGCTTCGTTTTTATATTATTATTATTATTATTATTATTATTATTATTATTATATTATGCCATTTTCTTTCGCCCACCTCGGCTTGCTCAGCCCCCCCCCCTTTTGTTTTCTCCCCCGCTGCCGAATGCCGTAAGGTTATCTGCGTGGGGCACATCCCCCGATTTCTTTAACCATGCCCCAAAGCGAGGTTCACGAACACTGCGACTGTTGAGACATCGCAGCTGATCAGCACATAGCGAGAGAAGGTCACGAAGCTACCGGCGCCAAGAGACGGTCGCTTCCTGCAGTTACGAGTATCGCGGGCAAATCGGGGAGTTGGCAGGCAGGCACGCACTTCTGCACTTCGTTGTTCGCATGCCGAAAGCTTACCTTTTCAGCAATAGCACGAAATCCAAAGCGTTCTCCATGTAGCTCCCAGCGGATAGTCCGCTGATTGCTTGATCGGAAACACTCTGCTTGCGGCGTGCACAAGCTTCAACGAAAGCCGTTGACAGAGGACACACACTCCGCCGCACCGAAGTTGTTCTGTACTTGCCGACACGCCACAGATTGCAGTGACACGTACTGTACTACTGTAAGCGCGAGTTAAACTGTGCGAGCCGTATAAGTACGCGTCCCTGACAAAGCAAGTGAATAGTAAAATAATAAACCACCGTCCGCCTGCAGCAAACACGCACACGACATGTTACCACCCAATTCAAAGTCTGCCTGTTGACGATGGCGATGCGCAGTTGCCCCGAGACCTCAAAACCGAACCCGAAACACATAGCAGTACCGTTATATGATATAATTTCCAAGCTATGTCAAGCCTCCAAGATATAGTGTAATATTTCATGCTTGACACATATTTATTTGCTAGCAGAGGTCACCTTCTAAGTCTGTTTTTTTTGCCAAGACGGGTGCAGGCGGCAAAT